CTGGGTAAAGAATATGTGATTCTGGGTGAAGAGTGTGAGGTTTAGGGGTGGTTGCTTCATTCAGGGAAGAAGTTTTACTTGTGATATTTGATAGATGATTGATCAGTTAGTGATTCTGTTACCAGTAAATGAGAATCCTGAGACCATATGAACTCATTTGCCTCTGAACCATTAACCTGCTCTGTTTTGCTGCTCGAAGATGGGGATATGGCTATTTAAGTTTACAATAACAGAATGGTAGATGGCTTTTTGATTAACTGATGCTATAACAGATTAATGGTTCTTTTCTTTTTTAGTTAGATTAGATTTTGGATGTACTATAGAAGATGGCTTTCTGTGGCTGTTAAAACCATCCACTGCCACTTGCTCTTGGAACAGACAATGCTTTTATTGGCTTCTGTTATTGCTATTTTACTAAATATGTGGCAAGATAAACTGTAGGAATATATGCCTAGGAATGACTGGCATAAATCCAGCCTTTAATTTTTTTCAGTTCCATGTTTAAGAAAAATAAGTGTTTTCTGAAGAAAAGAGGTCAATTTCTATAGATGATTGGTAGCTACTACTGCTAAGGTATAAGTAGTATCCTATATTTTTCCTCACAAACAAATCAGCTTCATTTGAAAAGATAGTCCTAAATTAATTCTGCAGCAAAATACTGCGAGATTAAATAGTTACAGAAATGCAAAAATAAGCAGCTCTAACTCAGTCTAGAAAAATCTTTCTGGCTTACACTAGTAATAAGTATTTTATTATATATTCTTTTTTAACACATTTTGTTCATGAGTTTGCCAGCACCCATGAAAGCCAGATGGACTTAGAAATTGCTCTCACTGAGCAATGTTGCGCTAATTTTAATGTCCTTAACTTGGGTGAATTCAGCTGTGGCCAAAATAACAAAAAGGATTGTGTCAACCTGTAGCTGAGTTAAGTGCCTCCATGTGATGTATTGAACTGGAAATGTAGCAGTGACAGGCCCTATTTACGGCCATTTGGGTGACTGGATCTGTATGCGGGCACATATCAGGACGCACACTGAGGGTGAGGTACAGATCTCAGGTGCCATGAATCAGCATGTCTCCCTTGAGGTTGTGCCCAGATGTGTTGTAAAGCGTGGGAGAGCTGGGAGGGAGCATCTAGATTTGCAGGGGAACATGACTGCTCCTATGTGAGCCACAGAAATGTAGTGGCATTTCTGCAAAACCTCATCCGGAAGAAAGGTTTAGACTAACTGCCATAACCCGTGCACTAGGCATGGGTCTAGATGACAACAGAAGTACCAGCACCTTTGCCAGTGACATTATCTTTTCTATCAACTGAAGGATCTGGTCCACTGTGGCTAGAGGTAGAAAACACATTAGAGAGTTTGATCCTATCATCCCATGCTACTGTTTTAAAAGGTTGCAGGCCAGTGCAACTTCCCACAGCACATACAGAGGTGTGGAGCCTCACAAGGGAGAGGAGTAAATGGGACAAACCATTCAGGACTACTTACATCCTTATTTTGTCAAAAAATATTTCTGTAAGTACTCACATGGTATGTGGTCTACATGCCCAGCACCTAGGAACGCTTAGGAGCCTGGGACATAAATTGGAATATGGAAATGCAATTATCAAGTCTGAGACTCTCATATCAGAGAGAAGTACTCTGAAGCAAAATAAAGACGCAATCAGTTTTGGAGTCGACTGGAAGAGGCAGTAGTAGATCCATCATAACCTTGGTGGCCTGCATAATTACTATATTTAAAAGGAGGAATAAACATAACTGCTCCCCAATGTTTTCTGTACTCTGCTGTGAGCATCAAGGGCTGTTTGTTCTTTAATTGTTACAGACCCCTGCACATCTCTACGCTTTCTTTGATATTATGAACTTTTCCTTTCTCTTTTTATATGAATTCTCTCTCTCATATTAATGTTTTTAACCTTTAAAATACTGCAGGCTTTTATTCCATCGCTACAGAGCTTTAAAACGTCTTTTGTCCTTGATAACCAGTTCTTCACGCCCCTTTCATTTTCACTGCCCTTCCCCCATTCCGCCATTTTGTGTCAGCAGTGACAGCCCCAGGGTGCTCAAATGGCCGAAGCATCAAACTGTGGGTGGAGGCTCTGGTGGCCTGGGGAAGATGTGGTCGCCTTGCTGCGTGGTGAGGTGCAAGCAGGTCAGACTGAGCTGGCTTCTCCTGTTGCTCTGATTTCATGAGTACAGTGTGCTCTGCGATACCCCTGCTGCCCTGCTGGGATGGCCGCCTCCACCACGAGGTTTCTCCCTCTGCTGGGTATCGCCTGGGGTGTGTTTAAAGACTTCTGGCTCTGTAAGACGTGGCCTTGCCTGGGAGAGAAACGCTTGCAAAATGCATTGCAAGAAATAAAAGAGCTTTCTTTGCAAGATAAAAATCATTTGATCCTGTGAGAGAATTAAGACTAAAAGGTAAATCCAGCAGGAGAGCTAACTGCAAATAGCATTTATGGAGGAATCAGATACAAAAGGAGAGGTGACCCAAGAAGTGCAGTGAAAACTATGGGTAGGTGATAAGCGCTATGAAGTGTTTGAAGCTTTTTAGTAAGAAGAAAGAGTTCAGGACTTAAAATAAAAAGATTTAGTAGAAAAGTTGTTGCTTACCCTATTAAGCAATATTGAGGCTAGGCAAACCTTTGCGAATCAAACAAGAGGCCAAAAGGATGTCTCAAAACTTCAGAACCAGTCCAGATGTTGTCTTGAGTTTTACACAGTCTATTTGCATAGCATTACTGCCTGATTTCAGCTGTAGAGAAAAGACAAGTAGTCTGAAAAGGGGGTATTTGCAGATAAGGAGATGGAAATACTGTGAGTTGATACTGTTGGTCTTTAAAGTAGAGCACAGGTCAAATGTCCAGTACATCCCAGACTTTTCTTGTCATAGGATATTAGGCAACTACATTTCATTTTTTCAGAGCTTGGGGGTGTTGTCCATTGCCTTAAAGTAACTCTTTAAGAACTGAAGTGCATGTAAATAGCGATCTTTGTTTGGTTAGATCACTGTGATGTGAAATTTCATCTCAGCTAAGTATCACTTTTTTTTTTCCTTTTTTTTTTCCCAAAGAATTCTAGGTAATCGAGTGGCAGAACTAGAAAAAAAGTTAAGAACTTTGGAAATTGCTGGCTTGTGGAGTCTTCCAGGTTAGTAGAAATTCACAAGAGCAACTTCCATTATTTGGTTTTTCAATGGTATATCTGCATTTAAGAAAAGCTTGGCTATAATAATTTTTTTAATGCGACAGTGATTTTGCAAATGTGATGTTCAGCACATCTGAGAAATTAAAACCCTCTAATAAATGTTAAATTGAAACAAAAAATCACTAGACTATTTAAGATGGGTTTCAAAGATGTTTATTGCATAGTTTGAAGGCAAAAAAAGAACTGTTTTATTTAAGTGGTTGTATAAAATGATACATTCAGAATATTAGCTATTAACTTTTTCAATAAATTTTATTTATTAATTTTGTACTTTCTGTAATTTCCATAGGGTTTATTGCTGTATTTTTTCATTTTTTTTTCTGTAGAATCATAAATTCCAAGAAATTGTAAATGTAAAAGAGCTTAAATTTTCTAGTCCATCTCTCTAGAGGAGAATTATTTGTGGTAGCATCATCTTAAATTTTGCATTTGGTTTTAAATTACTCAAGTAATGGGAAATTAATCTTTTTCCTAATAGACCTTGCTGTTAGGAAAATGTGCAATATTTAATTTACATTTACTTTTTGCTTCTTTTTCCCCCATTGCACCTAATTGCACCTCCTTCACCCACTGTAAATTATTCGTCTCCATTGTTTGCACCACTAGGCATTTTTGTTTCCAGTTTTCAGTTACTAAGAGCTTTCACCAGTGTTACTGGTGGTGGAAACGTGTGCTAGTCGCAGTCAGAAAGGCTTCTAGCTTTTTTGACTGTTATTTAGAGCTGCAGTTTCCATGCAGACGACAGCATTTGGCAAAGCTGAAGAGACCTTGTGACAAATACTCGTGACCTGAGCTGTTCAACCTTTTGGACTGATACGGTGCATTTCCGCTTCAGCTTGCCCGTTGTAGGCCTTTCTGAAGCTTCATTTTTCTAAAACTGTTTTTCTCTGTCATTGTTACTTCTCAGAACTGAAGGCCACAAATTTGTTCCATGGAATGTAGTTCAGTTAGTTATCTAATTCATGTAGTATGATGAGCGCTTTTGTCTCTTCTCACCTTTCCCAAATGTAGGCAAAATATTTATCTAGACTCCGCTAGTGCAGCTTGCACGTTGGTACAAATGTCTATCATGAATTTAGCATTTTAATGTGCTGGAGGGCTTTTTTCCAAAGATACTTTTCCATTCATATACTAATAAATACAGTGTTTCTAAACTTTGCAAAATGTATTGAAAAAGAATATATGGAACAAAGAGAACTTCTTATTCCATTGTTGATCTATTTAGGTAAGATATCAAATTGATATTTATACAATAACAACTCTTTTTTTTTTCCTTCCTTTCTTCTGCTACCTGAAGGCCTGAGCTACAATGTCTCAGTGGGATTTGGGAGTAGGTTCTGCTTGTCATGTATATTTTTAGTAACTGATTTTAGCAGTACGTTAAATATTGTCGCTGAATGTAAATAAACTGAAATGTTATCTGAACACTTTTATATCTGTCAGATTAAGATGTTCAAATGAGTGAGTTAGATGACCACCAGGGAAACAGAGGCTGCTGTATAAGACAGTTCCTTTTAGTTGATGAAAATAGTGACAAGGATTGGTCTTAAATAGATGTAATGGAATTTTACACTGGATTGCAAGTTCTGTTGAGCATCAAAGCTTGTTGGTTGATTTACTGATTCCCTATTAAATCAAGAGTGTATTTTTTATTTCCAAGTGCAGTCGGGTCCCAAGGTGGTCAGAAAGAGTCCTGCAACACCTGGTGGGTCACTAGTTTAGAGGACATTGAAACCTTCTGCTCCATAAAATAGCAGCGTATAACAAATAATGTGGAAACTATCATAATGGCCTGTGCAGCTGCATCTTGGCTTGGGTGAGAGGCAGCATGTGAAGAGCATCTCATCTAGTCAGTCCTAAGTCCAGAGAGAAAAGTATCATTTGGTTGTGAGTTTAACTTTCTCTTACTGGAAAAACTTACCCATGAAATCTAATGATCTGCTTCTAATAGATAATAGCACATGGATAAATTGCAGATATTTTAAATGAAGCTAATGTTTCCAGTTAGACATCCTTGTTTATATCTCATTTATAACATCCACCATCACCATGATACTGATATGTTCCAAATGCTTAGAAATGATGTTAGCAAAGTTTACCCTACTAAAGTAAACTTTACCGTACTTGATCGCTACTAACGTTTTAGTTATGTGGTATATTTGTCATCTGCTTTATGTGCAATGCAGGAATAAACTGTGGGGAAACCAAACCAAGAGGAACTGCATATTTTTGATTTTGAAATAGCGAAAGTGGTAGCATAAGTTCAGTTTCTGTAAAAGTTCTGCCTACCACAAACTACAACTTTCCCTGTCTGGAAAATGGCTTTAATTGAACCAGTCTCTTAGGAAATCTACGAAAAGAGAAAGCTCGAGTATAGATTGCCTTGAGAAGGCAGCCAGGAATGTGATGTTGGCAGAAACATTTCGTTCTTTGCTCAGTCTTATGTGTGTTGTTGGTTCATATATGCATGTGCATTTTGTTAAGTGTATGCAGTGATAATATATAGTAATGGCCAGTTTATTCCTCTCAAAATTTGATATTCAGATTTGGGCATTCACGTGAGCAGTTCTGTATTATTCAATTCAGCATTTCCTGAAAATCCCTGACATTCAGTGCCTAAGAAAAAAGAAAAATCGCCCATGACTCAGCCTTTTTTCTTTCCAGGTTCACTGGGGTGTTTCAGAACTCCTCTTTGCTCTGCAGTAATCAGCGTGGAGCAGTTGAGAGGTGGCATTCAACTGCTCAGCAGCTGCTGAGGACACAGCCAGTTACAGTAGTGTAGGATTGTTTAAATGGAAAAGAGGATGTAAAGGATCCCTAAGACTGGGAATCCTTTGGAGAAGTTTGCTTGTCCTGGAGAAGGAAGCAAATAACTGAATTCACTACTGTTGAAGACCTATTTGTTTGCCTCTTTTGAGATCTGCACTGTAATCAGTAAAGTCCTTGAGAAATTCGTTATATAGAGGACTCTGCACAAACCCGTATGAGCTATAAAATGCACTATATCCAGCAGCTAATAGAAATTTCCTGTGTAGTCCAACTTCAGGCCATGATTCACAGGATACAGGCCAGCAATAGCCATGGCCCTCTTTCAGGAAATTATGTGAATCAGTGTAAATAAATAAATAGGAACTCAACACCATAGCTGTTGCTTAAATGTGTGGACTCAGAGGTTAGCTCTTATTTTCTGTAACCAGGTCAGTTTTCATAAAAATGTTTTGAAAGTGAATGTGTTTACTACGTAAATGCTGGCTGGAAGTCAAGAAATTTGTTTTTTAAAGCTTGTCTTGGAAGCTTTAAGTATCCCAGCTCAGGCTTTACTTTATTATTCCGACCAACAACAACAAAACACCTTTAAAAATTATTCAGATTAATCTTTTGGAATCCTGTTCTTTTGGGTGTTACTGGATCTTTGGGATATGTATGGACTGTGTGTATGAACATCTGTTGGATGTTTTCGTACCACTAGTTCCTGTCTAGTTTAGTTCTCCTTCCAAAACAAAATTCCTCCACCAATACAGGAAAGTGCATTCCTGTATCCTCTTCCATTCTAGTGCATTCCTCTTCCAGAGGCTTTTGTGTTTTGAAATGGCAATTGGGCTTGTTTTGGCTAGTTACCATTTTTAGTTAGTTTGCCTCACCTTGTGAATTCTTTTCTTCCACCGCATTACAGTTTTATTTGCTATAGCAAAGACAAAATGCTGCTGCATCCTTGATGGTGGGATCAAAGCTCGACAAATTGCAAATTGAAGTGCATTCATACTGTTGCAGCCTATACCCAACTTGTCAGGGATATTTCTAAAAAAATCCTTGACAGCTTCAGTATCAACGTATTTACAGCCACTGTTTTCAAAAGTAGTTAGAGATTGGGACAGCTGGACTCCATGAGAGGAGCTCGACTTTTATTGCTTCACAGAAGGTACCAGAACTTTGCCAAAGTTGGATTTATTCACACTATCTACTGACCTGGTGCTCTTTTGAAAGTCTCTGTCTCTGATGGGTGATTAGATTTAGGATGTTGGCTTAAGGGGAAATGTACAAACAGATTTAGAGGGGAAAAAGTGATAGTAACATAAATGTCCTGTCTTATGGAGATAAATAGAGCGGGAGCTTGCCACCTTTGCAGCCGTTACTTAGCAGCTGGCAGTGCTCTGGAGGCCACGCGGTGCCCTGCTTAGCTGATCTTGCAGATTTCCTGCCATTTCCCCTCTAGGTTTAAGGCAGTGTCAATCACTGAAGGACCTGAGAATCCTGAATAGCAGAGGGTTTGCTAAAGGATCTGCAGGTGTTGCTTTCTGTATTGCTACAACATGTAAAGGCTAGGCATCTACAGGCAGAGTCCTTAGCTGAAGAGTTTCTTGCACAATTTTCTCTACAAAAGAGCTGGAAAGATGCCCTTTTGCATTTGGCTTGCGACAAAACCGCTCAGAAATGATTTGGGAGTTTTCGGATGAAAATCCCTGCCATTCCCTGGCAGTGTCCATGTGCTTCTCCCTCAGCTCTGGCGTTCCTCTGCGGAGCTTTTTGCTTAGTTATGTCTTTGAAAGGGGGCATTGTGGGCTGATGTGTATGTGGGACCGTGGTGCAAAAGCAAATTTGTGATGTGAACAGGTGCCTTGCTGACGCAGGACGTGGAGGGTACAGAGTGAGGGCTGAATGGCAGCATGCAAATGATCCATGTGCTAGTGCAAAGCCTCACCTAAAAATGCCTCTTGTAAAACTTCTGGCATGATCAGATAATTAATATGTTGAATTGTATGGCTAATACAACTTGCTGAATGCAGCATCTGGTCCTTTTTCAAAGTTTGTTCTTTACCGAGTAGTGTGGGTAGAAAAAATGTCTTTTCTATGTTTGACTTGCATATTTCAGCTGCAGTACAGAGGGGTTTTTTCCATGCTGTGGAAGGATCATTTGAGATGCTTTTCCTGTTCTGTACTTTTCTATAACATTGCAAAAAAAATCATATTAAAATGTAGGATTTGTTTGAATATCATGAGTGAACAATGAATGCAGTTGATGAATTAATGATTCCAGAATTTTCTTTGTTTCAGGTGGAAAGGATACTATAACATTCAGTGATCCAAATATCCCTGTTATGCAGCGGTCTAGGTCACCCTTGTTAGCATCTACAGACAAGCCACAGGAAACTGAAGTACAAGGTGAGCTCCAGCGACGTAAAGAAAGTGATGGAAGTTGAGCACTCATTTCTTTCTAAATAAAAAGTAATAAATTTTCATGCTGGGTTAACAGAAGGCAGAGTTTCACTGGTAGCAGAGATTGAATAAATCAACCACAAGTAAAATGGATAGATGGTCCCTGTACAAATAGCAGAGATACCTTTGAAAAATGACTGTTGAATAGATTACACAGTGCTAGATATGTGATCTTACACCTCAAAGAATTTTCGTGCCAGATAACTCGATCCTATGAGAAGTTATTCCTGCCATCTGTGTTACAGCTAACTGCCTCGTGCTCGTTTTGCCTCTGTTAAAATGCACAGTAGGAAAGCAGTGGATAGAACTGGCTTAGCACTTCCCTGCATTATACCTGATATCTACATGAAAGGCTTCCTGATTGCACCCGATAAATTGAAATACCCTACGCCTTTTTTCCAGAGAAATAGACTTTTCTTTTATAGCTTTCAATATGTTTTGTTAAATCCTTCCCCAAAAGCAAGCTTTAACATCTTCTTTCCAAAGTCAAGCTTAACTTTATTTGACAGTAGCAAAAATAGTATGCTATACATAACCTTAATTTTCTCCTTAGTTTTTCGTAATGGATGGAATGTGAATTATTATGCTTGTCTGTCAGCATTTGGATAAGCTCTTTAATGGGCATAAGGTTTTTGGTATGCCCAGATCTTTCTCGGCATGGTTATGAAACATTATAAACAATTTATTTGTTAGTCTTGAAACTAGATAGATGTGGCTTAATTTTGACTTTATTATCCATATCATCAGCTGATAAAACCTGACAGCCAGACTGATCATTTTTTATAATCTTGATCAGCTGATCTTTTGGTTGAAAATAAGAAATGAAACTACAGTGAATAGTTCTCCAGTGAGTAATAATAACTCATGAATATTCATTTTTTATGCCTGCTAAATCATTCTTCTTTATTAAATCTGCAGTTACTGAATGTATTTGCTTGATGGCCTTGTGCTCTTTTTGCTGCATATTTGTCCTAGGTGAGGCTGGTATTACAGTTTTGGTTAAAGTTGCCTCTCAAATCTCATCAGACCCTGTTTTTGTAGCTCTCTAATGCTGCTGAACATTAGCTGTGTGCTGAAGCTTTCCATGCTGTGTTTTCTGCTTTAGATGATTTTTTTTGTAATGTTACCCAAATCACTTGTTTGTGTTAAGGTTTATTGACTGTGTTTTTTAAAACATGCAAACATTTAATACTGCTATAATTGAAAGACAAGGGAGTTTTCACCACTGAGGAATAGACTGAAAATCATTCACTTTTAATTCCCATGTGATTTTTTTAGAAGTCAAATGGTTCTGTCTTTGTTGAGCTTGCTGCATGCTACTAGTGCTGATAAAACTCTGCATGCCTCCTTCCCTCAAGATACTGCAAATGCAGCGGCAGGAAACCTGGAGCAGAGAGGACAGAAAGTCTGCAGAGCAGGACTCTGATGTCAGGACTCCCATGTGATGCAGAGAGCAGAAGTGATGAGGACTGGAAGAGATGTAGGAAGTCTGAGTGAGACGGGGCCTGGGTCCGGCGTCACAGCAAGCCCAGAGCATGGGAGGGAGGAACTGAAATTCTGACCAAAAGTGGTGTCATAATAAAGACTGAAAGGTGGTGAGAAACAGGCAGTGTGTGTCAGGCCCGGATGCACAAAGGGAAATAGGGAAGAGCTAGATAGAAAAGAAAGAAGGTGGAAGAGAAACACCCCTAGAAGGCAGGCAGGAGGCTCTGCCGATGGTCGGAAGCATCAGTGACCGACAGGTCACACTATTTCCCCTCCTCTTCACCGCACGAGCCAAGATTTAAAACGGAGACCTTTCCTGTGAGAAAAGTGGAATGGGTTAAGAAATTACTGAAATTACCTATCTTTAAAACTAGGCCTGATGATTCATGTTAGTGAACTACGATCATGTAAGTAGTACAGAACAGTTGAGACTTGCTACGTATTTGGCCCAGGAGGCTTGTGCAGGAACATATATTCTTTATCAGGACCTTCTACAAAAGTTCTGACATCTATCAAATGTTGCTCTAGCCATATCTGCAGGTATCCAGAGGGGCTTCTTTAGGCTTGCTTGATCTAATCTAGCTGTTTACCCTCCTCTCGTCAAGGCCAGTTTTAACCTGTAATTGTCTGCAGTGCTGTAGGTAAGATGGATAATACACGTTTGTAGAATGCAGCACGCAGCCTCCTTGTGAAAATGCTTCATGTTACAGTGTGGTTGCATGAATTAAAGACTGCTTTTTCCACAGGATCTCCCTTTACGCATTGCTTGGGATGGGTGGTGGTTGTGATCGGTGGAACCAATGATTGGCACTAACTGGAGCTGTTAGTGAGCAGATCTTAATCCCTACACTGCTGAGCACAGTGTTTGTGCCATGTTGGCTGTGCACTGTTTCAAGCAGTCTGTGAAGACAAAGGGAGTTTTTCAATGAGCTTTTTTTCTTTGGGGTTCAAATGCTTTGAAGTGATTCATCTTCACAAAATTACAGCAAGGTGATGGGGTGGTGTTAGCCCACTGTAGAGTCCGGAAGCTGAGACATACGAAGAATAGTGTAGATTCCCTACTAATTTTGAGTGCCAATTTGAGATATGTAAGTTTTGTTTATTTTTAGAGCACTTCAAATATTCATGTTCAGATACATAACAGGGGCCTGACAGTGCTGCAAAACCAGCTCCCAGGGCTCCTGTTGAGCACTCAGATAATGAGGATTAGATCCAGTAGGTAATCACCTTTGAAAGTTAATTTATCCCTACTTTGCACCAGACTTAAATTCCAGCCCTTCCAGCTTTCCAGGCTTCCTTCATCACAGTAGCGCTGTCTGTTTCCTTCATTCACTCCCTCGTCCCATGCGCTCCGCAACGAGAGGGGCCGACTGGGACAGTGGGGCCTCCTGCTGTGCAGAGCTCCGAGGCCTCCTGCCACAGGGCTGGTTCCTGCCCTCGGTGAGGCACGAGCCCCGTAAACGCTCACGTAGTAGGAGGTACTGCACGTGCAGTGCCTGAGTTATTTTAAGCTGTCTATAAAGCCATACTTCTTTCATGTCCTAATTTTTCTTCCTTGACTTTGCAAGCTTATTTTCCATGAGGCTTTTTGTCCTTAATTAATAGAAGGACAGATTCTTTCCCTTTTACAAAGCTGTTTGTTTACACGTTGCTGTTTTCTGTATTCTGACACTCTTTATCCAATGTTTTGCTTCGGGTATAATGATGTTCTTCACCTTCTTCCAGTGCTGCTTTGTTTTATGCCGTTACCCCAATTAGGAACACCTTTTGTGGTAGGAAAAATGTTGCAGGACCCATAACAAAGGTTCGTTATTGGATAAAAGCTTGTGAACAGAAAAGTGGAGCTTGTGTTAAGCCCTGAAAGCAGTAGTGATTTGGGGATTAATGTTAAGCTTTGCCAAAAAAAAAAAAACTGCAGCCAAGTAAGTGCCTTGCTCAGCGCTGTTATCATCCCATGAAAACGCTTATCCGAGTGGGCTGTCCTGTACTGTAGTTTGGGCTGTGCCTCTTTTAGAACTGGCAGCTGGGGAAAGAGGATCCAAAACTGCCTGATGTAGTCAATGCTGATTGCTTGAAATCTCAGAAACGGGCCTAGGATGGGATAAGGAGTCGCTCTAGATAATCCCTTACCAAGGTGGAAGTCTGTGCTCTGAGCCTGTTGTGAGGGTCTTCAGGGCAGATATGTATAAACACCTGAGCCTGACTGGACCATATTGCTGTTTCACTTCTCTTTCAGCAGAACAAAAGGGAGAACGTGATGAAACTTGTGCTGTTGCAAGAGAAACTGATAAAGAGGAAAATGATAAAGATTCTGCCAATTCCCCAGCAAACTTAAATAACAGTAACCAAAATAAATATTTTTATCCTTCATTACCTCAATTACCTTATGAGGAAGGAGAAATAAGCGAGTTTGGAAGTCAAATAAATAAACTACCAGAAGAACAGGACGTTGCAGAACTGGAAGGGAAGGGAGCAGAAAATTCAGCAGAGGCTGCAAACACGTTAGTTGGACCTGAGCTTAATGGTTCATCTGAGGGAGAGCTTCCTCTCTCCAGCCCTGGCCGATCCAAGCACACAGATCCCTCAGCCTCAGAGAGTGAACAGGCAGCTGAGACTGATGTCCTGAAAGACAGTGGTGAAACCGTGGAGAGCAACGGTGAAATTACAAAAGGAAAAGGGAATCAAAATAGCAGCTCTGTGGATATTGAGGGCCCTGGAAGGCCTGGAGGTCTCCATGTTACAACTGCTCACACAGATGACAGCTCTGAGGAGCAATCTGAATCTGAAGGCAAGAAACCTTCT